CCCCCTCACTCAGCACATCCACCCCCTCACCCAGCACTCCTCCCCCTCACCCAGCACTCCTCCCCCTCACCCAGCACTTCCTCCCCCTCACCCAGCACTCCTCCCCCTCACTCAGCTGGTCCAGAGGGTCTGGCTGCACTGCTGTCCCGGCAACTCCCCAGGCACCTCCCAGCTCTCTCCCTGGGTGACTCCATCCCAGGAGCCCAGCGCTGTCGCGGGGACTGCTCCAGGCACCCACCTCTGCCCCCAGGGTCCTCGGCCCCTCCCAGACCCCCAGCCATCAGCATCGCCCAGGCCCTGCAGGACCCACAAGGTCCTCCCCCTGCATCCAGCATGGAGCAGGCCCATTGGGATAGACACCCGACTTGCAGGACCCAGGAAACTGGGTACAGGATGCCTCGTATTTGGGAGACTGAGGCGGGGGAGGAAGTGCCCACTGCCGCCCGATGCGCACTGCACGGCTAGTGGCGCTGCCGGTGCCAGCAGGAAGGTCGCACTCTGCCGGGGCACGCAGACCAGGTGCGGGGCAGGCCGTGAGCTCCTGCTGGCAGCGAGGACAGGCCAGGCTGCTCTCCGCTCTGGCTCTGGGGGACCAGCATCTTGGGGGCAAACGGGAGGCAGGGGGTGACAGGTGCCTGGGGGGCCTCACACCTGGCTGATCTGCCCCTGCTCCCTGCAAGCCCCCACATCTGCAGCCCCGCACAGCGCCTCTGGCCTCCCCCCAGCCCTCGGGGCACCTGGCCAGGCTGCCTACCTGCCGGGGTCCTGGCACCACAGCCCAGTCCGGTCAGCCGACCCCACGGCTCCTCTCTAGGGCCTGTTCCCAGGACCAGCCTGGACGGGCAGAGTGACCACGAGGATGGCCGCCCACCTCACCCTGCAGCCAGGGGTCCGGATCCTTCCCCTTCTCTTTCAGGCCCCGCACCTGCCACCCGCTGCCCCAGGAGCCACTGCCCGCACTGCAAGCAGGCCAGGAGCGAAGGCCAGCCTGTACCTCCCAGCGCGCAGAGGCAACGGGGGGTCGGGGCGGGGGCGGCGGACACCGCACCCCACGCTGTGCTCGGCTGCAATCAAACACGGGGACGCTCACTCTGCAGAAGGGTCACCTTCCCCTTGCCTCCAGGCCCACCAGGGAGGCCTGCTGGTTGCCCCCAACCCCACCCCGCCCCCAATCAGGTACCCCTGGCCAGCACTGAGCTGGGGACAGCTCCCAGGCCCTGTCCCTGTGTCCCTGGGGACATTTCCGGAGCCTTCCATGGGGCCAGAAGGCGAGGCAGGCAGCGGGGCTGGGACAGGTCGGCCCCTCCCCGGGTGCAGGGGCAGGGCCCACAGTTGTCAGGAAGCCGCTAGGGTCACACATCTGAGCACCAACATGCACTCCGGTGTCAGGGCGTTCATTTCTCTGTTACAAGATCTGTATATGGCACTGCGTGCCCACCACCCAATCACATCCTATCCATCACCAGATATTAGGACATGCTCTTTTCACAGGGGGGACGCCGTGAGGCTGCCGCCTGGATCTAGAAGCACACAGGCAGCCCCGGGGAACCCGGCCTGCAAGTGCGCTGTGACCTGGCCTGCCAGGCGACCAGACCCTCTGCTCCCTCCCCAGGACACAGCACTGCCTCCTGGGCTCGCTTTCAATCCTCCAGGCCTCAGACTCCCCACCTAGGCCCAAGGGCTGGACCAGGGTCTCTGTCCTTCACACCTCTCCAGCTCGAGCAGCTCGTAAAGGGTACAGGGGAGAGGCCCTGGAGTGCTTCCTGGAGGAGGTGGCTCGCTCCCAGGAGTCCCCAGGCAGAGCGGGGAGGACGAGGTGGCAAAGGCTCTAGTACAGATTCTTGCACAAACAACAGCACTGTGGGTCACCTGGAGGCCCCCCCCAATCCTCACAGGCGGGCAGCCAGCGCCCATGGGGCGGGCCTTACCTCCAGCACGTGCCCCGTGATGTACTTCTCGCAGCCGTCGCAGCGGATGCCGAACTTGGCGTGGTAGTCGGCCTCGCAGTAGGGCAGCCCATCCCTGCAACGAGCCAGGCAGTCAGGATGGGCGGGGTCATCCCAGCACCCCAACGCTCACAACCCTCGCCCGTGAGAGGGGCTGTGGCAGAGGGACAAGCACACTTCCTCCTCCTCCAAGTGACAGGACCACCCTCCACGTTCCGCAGGCGGGAGCACGGCCTCCGCTATCACACCGGCCCCACGAGGAACCACGAAGATGGTCCCATTCCATGGATGGAGAAACTGAGGTGCAAGAGCTGGGGCCACCTGCCCAGCGGCGGAGTAAGGGGCGGTGGCGCCCCCAGAGGTTGACAGCGGGCCTGTTCCGCGCCAGGCGCTGGTGGTGGCTGTGGGATTAGTGACGAGTGACACCATTTGGGGCACTGCTCCTGGGCATGTGGGCAGCCTGGGGCAGGTTGTGTAAACACGGAGCCCCCACTGAGGGAGCCGTAAGAAAAAGGACCCGAGTGCGGCTCATGGACGGGAGATCACGCAGGCACCGCGCTGGGTCCAGCATCGGCCCAACCGGGAGCTCTTTTTTTTTTAATTTCAGAGAGGAAAAGGGGGAGAGCGAGAGAAACACCAACGATGAGAGAGAATCATCGACAGGCTGCCTCCTGCACGCCCCACACTGGGGATCGAGCCTGCAATCCAGGCATGTGCCTGACCGGGAATGGAACCATTACCTCCTGGTTCATAGGTCGACACTCAACACTGAGCCGCGCCAGCCGGCTGGGAGCTCATTTCAAAGTGACTGCAGTTACTATGATGATCAACCTCCTCTAGTCACGGGGTGCCTGCGGGAGGGGAGGGGAAGGGCCTGCTGGGGGGACAGGCCTGGGGCTGCAGGGGCACCTCTGCCTGCACAGCCTCCCCGAGGGTGAAGCCTTGGCCCACAGGACAGGGAGGTAGAAATGGGGCCCGAGGGGCCACTTTCCAATGCCGCCGACCTCAGGGCCCGGCGATTCCCCACGGATGGGTGGATGTGCAGCAAACCCCAGAGGTTCAAAGATGACGTCTCCATGGCAACACCAAGGCGCCCTCCTCCTCAGTTCTGGGACAGTCTGGAGGCTGCTAAGTCACAGCGCAGTGTGGGCCGCTGCGGTCTCGGGGGCGGGGCGGCTCGTTCATTCTCTCACACTGTCTGCCATGCCGCCTGAGTCACCCTCCCTCTACCTCGACAGGAGCCACAGGTGGCGAGGGGCCTGGCCCGGCCCGCACAGGGGGCTCCTGAAAACCGTTTATCCTGAGATAAGTGTCGAGGCACATGCAGGTGAAAGAAAGAAAGCAGACCAGCAAGACCTCCTGCAGAATCAGAGCATGAGGCCACCAGGGAGGTGACGTGGGTCCACCTCCTATGCACGTGTGTGTGCATGTGCCAGTGTACGTGTGCGCCAGCACGTGTGTGTGCATGTGCCAGTGTATGTGTGTCCCAGCATGTGTGTGCATGTGTCAGTGTATGTGTGTGCCAGGATGTATGCACACATGCGCATGTGCATGCATGTGCCAGTGTGTGCATGTGTGTGCATGTGCCAGTGTATGTGTGTGCCAGCACCTGTGCGCACATGTGCATGCGTGTGCATGTGCCAGCATGTGGGCATGTGCCAGTGCATGTGCCAGTGCATGTGCCAGTGCATGTGCCAGCATATGTGCACGTGTGTGCATGTGCCAGTGTATGTGTGCCAGCATGTTTGTGCGCATATGCCAGCATGTGTGCATGTGTGTGCACCAGTGTATATGTATATCAGCATGTGTGTGTGCCAGTATATGTGTGTGCCAGCACATGCGTGTATGCATGTGCATGTGCGTGCATGTGACAGTATGTGTGAGCCAGCATGTGCATGCGTGTGCATGTGCCAGCATGTGTGTGCATGTGCCAGTATACGTGTGTGCGCCAGCATGTGCATGTGTGTGCGCGCACCAGCATGTGCATGTGTGTGTTGCCTCCGTGCCGCTTTATCACAGGACTTCTTTTAACACGATCAGTTCCTGTGATGCTCTATCCCAGTGATGGCGAACCTCTGAGCTCGGTATGTCAGCATTTTGAAAAACCCTAACTTAACTCTGGTGCTGTGTCACGTATAGAAATTGTTTGATATTTGCAACCATAGTAAAACAAAGATTTATATTGTTGATGTTTATTTTATATATTTAAATGCCATTTAACAAAGAAAAATCAACCAAAAAAATGAGTTTGCGTGTCACCTCTGACACGCGTCTCAAAGGTTCGCCATCACTGCCCTATCCCTTGGGGCTTCAGAACTAGCGGAGGCTCCAGGAGAGCTGCGCAAAGAGCCCCTGGCTGCGGGCTCTGAGCCCAAGACCGCGCGCTACACCCTCGCTCCCTCCTGTGCCGGGGACTCGCCTGTCTCTGTCCCGGGCTCTGGATTAAATGCACGCCCTAGGCAAACCAGGTGCCCGTGCAGGGCCACGGTCTCCCAGCAGCTCCCTCCCCCCACACCAGCCATCGGCCTCCTGAGCGCACGCAGGGAGCGCCGTGTGGCCCGCTGCAGAGCTGCCCTGTGCGGCCGGTGCTGGACAGGTCTCCGCACTGTCATGTCCTGACAACTGAGGCTGCTCAGCCCTGGCCCCTCACACGGGGCTGGCGGCGGCCGACAGCACTTTGCATTGTGCCGGAGAGCCAGTGCCGAGGGCGGATTCCCGGGGAGGGCGACCCAGGGATGGGCGCGGGAGGCGTGTGACAGTCAAAGATGGGAGCACGGCATCTGCTCCATCAGCAAAACGAATGGCGGTGGAGTCTGCAGACCCCGCTAGGGAAGCCAGGCTGCCTGTGCAGGGCCACGGTCTCCCAGCAGCTCCCTCCCCCCAAACCAGCCATCAGCCTCCTGAGCGCACGCGGGGGGCGCCATGTGGCCCGCTGGGACAGACACGCAGTCCCAGCCCGGGTTCCTGTCTAACCGTGGAGACGGGAGGGATGAGCGCGGTGGAAGGCAGGGGATAGGCGGAGGCCGACCCCGGGGCTCCGTTCCGACGCCCCGCTGCTCACTTGCTGATGTACTCGGCACTCAGCTCCTTGCCGCAGGCCTTGCAGCGAAAGCAGCCCAGGTGCCAGTGCTTGTCCAGAGCCACCAGGGACTGGCCGCTTTGGATTTCTGTGCCGCAGCCCCCACAACCTGGAAGGAAGAGGAGAACACAGACGTCACCGCTGGGGCCCAAGGAGGGGGAGCCTCACCGCTGAGTCTAGGGACACCACTACAGCAGTTAGAATGCCCAGGGAGCAGAGAGAGGGGACAGTCTGGCTGCTGTGCTTAGAGGACCCTGCTACAGGGCAGGGGGGCAAACACGCAGAAAACAAATCACAAAGCTTGCTCCCACGTGGCTGTGTGCTTACTGCATGCACTGGGCCGTGTGCACATGCTGACTGCATGCACTGGGCCGTGGCTGTGTGCTGACTGCACACACTGGGTCATGGCTGAGTGCTGACTGCATGCACTCGGCCATGGCTGTATGCTTACGGCATGCACTGGGCCGGGCTGCACATGCTCACTGCATGCACTGGGTCATGGCTGAGTGCTGACTGCATGCACTCGGCCATGGCTGTATGCTTACGGCATGCACTGGGCCGGGCTGCACATGCTCACTGCATGCACTGGGCCGTGGCTGTGTGCTGACTGCACACACTGGGCCATGACTGTATGTTGACTGCATGCACTGGGCCGTGGCTGTAAGCTGACTGCATGCACTGGGCCATGGCTGTATGCTTACTGCATGCACTGGGTCATGGCTGAGTGCTGACTGCATGCACTGGGCCATGGCTGAGTGCTGACTGCATGCACTGGGCCGTGGCTGAGTGCTGACTGCATGCACTGGGCTATAGCTGAGTGCTTACTGCATGCACTGGGCCATGGCTATATGCTTACTGCATGCACTGGGCCGTGGCTATATGCTGACTGCATGCACTGGGCCGTGGCTGAGTGCTGACTGCATGCACTGGCCCGTGGCTGGGTGCTGACTGCATGCACTGGGCCGTGGCTGAGTGCTGACTGCATGCACTGGCCCGTGGCTGGGTGCTGACTGCATGCACTGGGCCGTGGCTGAGTGCTGACTGCATGCACTGGCCCGTGGCTGGGTGCTGACTGCATGCACTGGGCCGTGGCTGAGTGCTGACTGCATGCACTGGCCCGTGGCTGGGTGCTGACTGCATGCACTGGGCCGTGGCTGAGTGCTGACTGCATGCACTGGCCCGTGGCTGGGTGCTGACTGCATGCACTGGGCCGTGGCTGAGTGCTGACTGCATGCACTGGCCCGTGGCTGGGTGCTGACTGCATGCACTGGGCCGTGGCTGAGTGCTGACTGCATGCACTGGCCCGTGGCTGGGTGCTGACTGCATGCACTGGGCCGTGGCTGAGTGCTGACTGCATGCACTGGCCCGTGGCTGGGTGCTGACTGCATGCACTGGGCCGTGGCTGAGTGCTGACTGCATGCACTGGCCCGTGGCTGGGTGCTGACTGCATGCACTGGGCCGTGGCTGAGTGCTGACTGCATGCACTGGCCCGTGGCTGGGTGCTGACTGCATGCACTGGGCCGTGGCTGAGTGCTGACTGCATGCACTGGGCCGGGCGGCACATGCTCACTGCATGCACTGGGCAGGGCTGCACATGCTGACTGCATGCACTGGGCCGGGAGCTGGGGAGACAGTCCTGCCTGCCAGGGGTGGAGCATCTGGGCCTGGGCAGTAGGTGCACCCTCCAGCCAGAGCCAGGACAGTCCCAGGGCTGCTGGCAAGCTCTGGGTTTCCCACATCACCACACCACTCAAACCACATGCAACTTTGGGAAACGACTCTAAGACAGACTGGAGCTCCAAGATCCAGCGCCTGAGGGAAGGGGCTTTCCTCCACTCGCTGCCCAGCTGGGGGACCAAGTGGAATGAATGTGTGCACAGTGAATGAATGGGAACCATGTGGGCAAGGGCCTGGCTCCAGAAATCAGTAGGAACCCCCGCTCTGTCCCAGCCATGTGGCCCTGGTGCTGGGACACCACAGCAACCTCACACGCAGGGTGGGCTCCAAGCACGTCACCTCTGCAGTGGGATCCTGGCAGCAGCAGGGCCCGGAACGCGGGGCCCCCGCCCAGTCCCCACATCCCTCTTGGCCCGGAAGAGTCACCCGCGCTGGAAGAGGCCAGCACCTGCCTGCGCCCGCCCCGCTCTCACTCTGCCCCACACCCACAGGCCAGCTGGCGTTCCTGCTTTTATAGGAACAACCTCCCGCTTCTGCATGCCAGAAGCACGCATTGAGCACCTACTACACACACACCCTGGCCTGGCTCCTGCGATGTGCAGCCCTGACCACAGGAGCCCAGAGTTCAATGCTCTTTTAAGGGCTCTCCCAAGGGGCTTCTAGATGGCCTGGAATTAACGGTGGGGAGCTGAGTGAGCTGGAGGCAGAGAACGAGAAGTAGGCCAGGAGGGCTTCCTGGAGGAGGTAGGCCAGAGCTGGGCCAAACGCAAGAAGGGAAGTGGGTGAAAAGAAGGAGTGGCACACAGGGCAGCGGGCACAGCCTGTGCAAAGGTTTGGCGGCACGAATGTACCAGAGATTTCTATCCCGGTACCCTTCCTTATGATCTCCCGCCTCTGGTCAGTGCCAGCCGGCCCCCGTCCCCGCCCTCAACGCCCACTCACTCCAGAGGCCCTGGGAAAGGTGCGTGCTGCCACCCGCGGACTTGGGCAGGGAACACTTCTGGCACATGCATTCCTTCCCATTGAAGGTCACTCGGTCCCCAGGCGGGAAGGGCAACCTGAAATGAGAGAAGGAATGACCAGCCAGGACCCCAGACACACACCATCGCCTCCCCCAGGCACCTCCCAGGCCGAGGATGCCAGGCCCCTCCCCCCAGGGCTGCCACGTCCCTGCCGTGTGACCTCGGGCCAGTGCCTGACACCTGAGCCTCCGTGCCCTCATCCGCACCAGCAGGCAGAGTGCCGGCGAACCCCGAGGGGCGGAAGCGCGGGGTCACACGCTGACTGTGTGTCTGCGGCAGACTGCTTTCCACGGAGGCTGCACCCCCCTGCATTCCCGCCAGGAGTGTCTGAGAGTTCCCTCTGCTCCCCACCCGCCCCGACGCGCCACACTCTCCATCTGTTTCAGCCATTCTGGTGGCTCCGTGACGGTATTTCATCATCATTCCCAGTTGCCTCCCCTGGCGACTGGCGATGCTCAGCTCGTCCCATGGGCCTCTCACATACATTTTTGTGGAGTACAGGTTAAACCCGTCTGCCCACTTTTTAATAGGGTTTTTTTGTTTGTTTTCTAATGTTGACTGGCAGAAGTTCTCTATGTATCTTGGACACCCGTGCTTCATGACATGTACGTTATCCACCAGCAGGTGGCTTGCTTTTGCCTCTTCTCGGTGTCTTGTGACATTTTTCTTCAGCCTGAAAATGTCCCTTTAACTTTGTTGCAGGTGCGGGATTCTGGCAACAAATTCTCCTAGCTTTTGTGTGTCTGCGAGTCTTCATTTCTGGACTGACTGCTTTACTGACACTTTTATTCGTGGACACTCTTAACAGTCACATCCCATTCAAAGGTTGTTAGAGTATCCAACGCTGTGCGACCATCCCCACAATCAATTTGAGGACATTTTTTATCACTCCCCCCCCCCCAAAAAAAAGAACGCCATACCCTTAACTGGTCTTGCCTTCATTTTTTTAAGTTTTTTTTCTTTTGATAGACTTTTTCAGCTCTTTAAAGATGCTGTTCTATTGTCTTCTGGTGCACATAGTTTCAGATGAGAAGTCCGCAGTCATTCGTTTACTAGAGGCCTGGTGCACGAAATTTGGGCACGGATAGGGGCCCTCGGCCTGGCCGGCAACCAGGGCCGATCAGGGCCTTCCCGCTCCTGGCCAGGGCCTCCCTTCCCTGGCTGCCAGCTGCCAGTTGGGACCTTCCTTTGTTCCATGCCATCCCCTGGTTGTCAGCACACGTCATAGCAAGCAATAGAACTCCTGGTCTCCCGTCGAGCTCCCATGGGGACACTTTGCATATTAGCCTTTTATATATATAGATGCCATTGTACATAATGTGGTGGTGTTTTGTTTTTTCTTGCTGCTTCTAAGATTTTCTTCTTATTACTGTTTCTCAGAAATTTGATTGTGTTCGAGTTGGCAGGTTTTTGTTGTGTTTATTCTGCATGGGGTTCAATGAGATTCTTGGAACCATGAGTTTATAGCTTTCATCAAATTTGGACATTTTCCAACCTTCATTTCTTCTAATTTTTTTCAGTCTTCTCTCATCCCCTGGGTCTCCCCCTCCCAACCCAGAGGGACAGACAGATAGATCTATATCCACAGACCACCCGGTCTCTCTTCACATTTTCAGTCTTTTTTTTTTTTTTTGTCTCTTTGCTTTAGATCAATAGTTTCTATAGTTATGTCAAGTTCACCAATCTTTTCCTCAGCAAAACCTCCTGCTCATTCCTTCCTTCCAGGGAATCTCTCCTTTCAGAAATTATCATTTTCACTTCTAGAAGCTCCACATGGTTTCTTTCAGCATCTCCTGCGACTCTTACTTATGCGGACGCTCTCCTTTACACGCCGACTCACGACAGGAGGTGTCTCAGAGTCCCTGCCTGTGCGCTCCGCTCCACCGTAGCTCTCCTTCCTGGGCCACGGTCACGGCTGGTCTCCCTCCGGCTTCCTGGTGCTTTGGTTTCCTCTTATGAACGGTGGCATTTGATGGGAAGTCGAACGTTGTCAACTTCACGCGGCCGAGGCGGGACTGCCTTTCCTTCCTCCGGGGAGCGTTGGACTTTGCTTTGGCGGCGGTCACCTGGTTTGCACATCAGCCTGACCTTTCTGAGGTTTTCTTTTTCCTGCACTTTGTCGGCTCCGTCCCACCGGTAAGGCATGGATGGCCCTTTGGTGTCCCTGCTGTGTGCCTGGGTATTCAGCAAGGACTGTCCGCCTGGCCAGGACCTATGGCCTCCCAGGCCTGGGAACTGCTTCGCTTACAGCAACCCGGTCATTCTCCGCCTCACCCTGTGAAATGCCCTCCGTGTCCATGAGGACTCGAAGGCCCCTCCACAGCTCCCGCAGCTCTTGTCCAGCGCAGCTCTCTCCCCTCTGCATGCTGCTCGGTCTCTCAGGGCACCGTCTCCCAGCTCGGCGAGAACGCCCTGCCCCAGTGGCCCCTCCTGGGACTGGGCAGCAGACAAGGCTGGTCACCGGGCTCCATTCCTTTGCCCTCCTTCTCTCAGTCCTCAGCCGCCAGGGCCCCGACATCTGCAAACAGGTGTTCTGTGTCTTTTGTCCAGTTTTCTCATTGTCTACAGTGGATGGTGGGTCCAGGCCCAGCGGGACGGAGCTGTTGGCTATTATCCGCAACACGCAGGGGACCCAGAGGTGGTCTTTCAGCCACTGTGATGACGTCAGCCTGGCCTCCAGGCAACTCGCCCGGAAGTCAGACACTGAGACAGCCCGGGGGGACACTGGCCCTCGCGTGCTGGGTAACACACAGGGGCGCCTTAGAAACGGTCCCCGTCATTGTTCCGCCCTCTCCGCGTCCCCGACAAAGCTCCCGCTTCTGTCCGGTGCACCTGCCGTGACACAGACAACGGCTTTGGGAAAACGCTCAAAAGCCTCCCGTTAAACTGGGTGTGATGAGGCAGCGAGGAGAGCAGAATAAACTCGCTTTGTTTTTCCAGAGAGAGGCAGGGAGAGGGGGAGAGAGAGAGAAACAATCCATGATGAGAGAATCATGGATTGGCTGCCTCCTGCACGTCCCACACTGGGGATCAACCCAGGCATATGCCCTGACTGGGAATTGAACTGTGGCCTCCTGGTTCTCGACACTCAACCACTGAGCCACGCTGGTCAGGCAACATGGGTTTTTATTGTTTTCCAGAAATGAGACATTCCCCTGGGAGCCGTGTGTGAGGGAGGGAGGGAGGCGGTCTCCCTGCTGCTGAGGGTAGGGACCTGGGTCTGCCCCCTGCATCGGTCACTGTACCCCACGCAGTGGCAGTGCCGGGCAGCCCAGCCAGAGGGGAATCAGCCTGGCCCTGCCCACACAGGGCTCACATCTGGCTGCTCCAGGGACGTGTTGCTAGAGAGCTTGGGCCCAGGAGAGCATCAGGACAGGATGCAATGGTGGTGGGGGCGGGGGGCTGCTCCCAGTGGGAGAGGCTCTGGGAGGCACCTCCCTGCACTGAGCCCTGGGGGCGTCCGCTGATGCACGTCCAGGTTCCCAGGCCTGGCCCGCGGGGCATGTGGCAAAGCCCGGCTGAGTGAATGACAGGGAGCGGACTGTGGAGGCCCAGCCGGGCTGAGGAGTGTGGAGACCCAGGGGCAGTGTGGACAGCGCAGGAGAGGGAGGGGACCCAGCACGGAGACCATGGCGGGACCCTGAGTGGGACGGTGGCCGGGTGGGTTCTGGAGAGGGAGGGATCCTGGAAGCTGCCCATGCTGGGGGCTCACGTGCCTGGTGGTTGGGTGGTGGTGTCACGGGGCTGAGAGGCAGGGAGTGCAGGGGGACATATGCCTGGTGTTGGGTGTGGTGTCACGGAGCTGAGAGGCAGGGAGTGCAAGGAGACATATGCCTGGTGGTTGGGTGTGGTGTCGCGGGGGTACAGGCAGGGGGACATGCCAGGCAGCCGAGGAGCAGCAGAGGCTGGGCAGGAGGGGCTGAAGCAGGTGCCATTATGGGAGATGGAATGTGTGGGGGACGCGGACAGGAGAGGAGCTGGCCACGGGGGCCACGGAGGTAGGAGACAGAGCAACCTTCCCAGAAGCCAAAGGAGGCCACGTGCCAGCAGCCTCAGTGGCCCGGCCTCTGCACCCCCAGGAAGAGGGCTTGGTCCTGGGCGACGGGCAGGGGAGGAGGCCGCAGGGTC